AGTTTTAGAATTATGACTGATGTTTTCATCTGGAATCCTGGAGGCATTCTCATTTGAAGGGTTGGATGAAAAAGCATAACGGACCGCATTATCTCACTAAAGTACTTTATTAATTAACTAGCGTGTCAGGAGAAGCTGAAGCTTAACCTATGAAAACATATTTTTAAAGCACTCTGGACACCATGAATGAGTGTTAACCTCTCCAGTGAATGAGCGAACACATGCACAGATGCTGTTAATAATCAGAGTTTGTTTGTTTTTTTCTGTTCACAGTTTGTCTTTAATTATGTGCTAATCTGAGCAAATAGATGTTAGGAATATCCAATCAAATTATCCCAAAACATCTCATTCTGACTTGTGCTTCTTCAGAACCTGCTCCTGCTATTGCACCAGCTGCTGCTCCAGAGCCTCCTAAACCAGAAGCCAAACCAGCAGATCCAGCCAATCCCGGAGCAGAAGCTGCAGGGGGGTAAGAGTTCAGACTACCTGAAAATGTTCTCATTATATGCAGTGTGTATATACTGTAGTGTATGCTATATTATACTATACTATAAAATCTTAGAGTCAGTGATTTTCAAACTGGGGTCCAGAAGCCACAAGGGGATGCTAGAGAGTCGGCAGAGATGGTTTAGAGAAAAATAGAGTATAACAATTTTTTTTGTAATAAACTGAACAAATTAACTTGAATAAATTAAATTAATAATTAATAACAAATTATACAACTACTATAAGTATATCCCAGACACATACATTACACTTACATTAAATGTACTATGTTGTACTATATGTACTATATACTATAGTACAAAATGTATTATATAGCAATATGTACTATGTGTACATGTACTATATAGCAAATCTCAAATGCTTTATTGTAATTTTGTCGAAGATTGTAAATTATATTATCACCTAGTGATATATTAAAAGTTGGATATATAGTACATTCTACTTAACCTGTGTACATACAGTATAGTCATGTAAAGCTATACTATATAAGAAAAGTGGGCTGTGTGATGATATTTTCTGAGTGTTCAAAATGTCCAGTTTTTTTTATTTATTTTTTTTACTTTTTTGTTTTGTTTTGTTATACGAATGTTAAAGGAACATTCCATTTTGCAAACATTATGGGAATGTTAGTTTTGAAAGTTCCCTGAACATTCTGGAACAAGTAGTAACATTTAAAAAAATAATAATAATAACACGTTTTAGAAAACATTCCATGAAAAATGTATAAATAACATTTTTGTTTTAACGTTTGGGAACATTATTAAAGACCATTATTAACATTATTAAACAATACAAAGAACATTATTAAAGGGATTATTGAAGATGACGTTACTGGAAGAATGTTTGTTCGTAACTTTGAGAGAACATTCCCTGTTAGCTAGGACTATAAGGCATGAAATTATGACTACATTATAAGCATTAACATCATACATTTTTGTAAAGTTGCTCTGAGAATATGAGCACTGTGAAAAATGCTACACAAATAAATTTCACTTGACTTGATTAATTAAACTTTGACTTTAATTTCCGCTTCAGGTTTAGAACAGGAAGCAGAATAATTGTGTATAGTCTAAATCTACTACCACCTCTATTACTAGCCTACTACTACAACTTCGAGTACTGCTACTGCTACTACTAGCGATTTTTTTATTTTTATTTTTTTTTTTACATAAGCCTATGTCTTTTTCACGTAGTGAGGATGCACCACCACCACCACCTCCTCCACCCATCGTCATCAACAGATACTGTGACGACCAGCTGTGAGACATCGTGAGGAAACTACTGGAGAGGAAGGATGCAGCTTCATAAGGAGAAAGTCATAGACCCCTACGCCTCGTCAGTGAGTAGTACAAACACATCCAGAGTCTCTCTGAATCCTGCTGTTTGATGGACAAGTCAATAATGCAAGATTCATAAATGATCTAGCAGCTGTTTCTCATTTCTCTGTTCCTCAAGGACTTGGAATCTTAAAGGTTTTAAACCGTTTGACTCATTTACCCTGCTGGAATGAACCATGTCATTCTAGCTTTTTGGAAAATATAGCTACTTTGTTGCTGTCTACCAGGTCAAAAGCAACTAGTCCTTCTTATTAACCATCTAGACCAACTTGGACAATCTAGTGACTACCAATTTTGTCCAGCAAAAAACATGAACTAGCTTCCACCTGGATTTTCCAGCATGGAGTCCATCCATTTTTATTTATTTATTTATTTAGTCATTTAGCAGACGCTTTTATCCAAAGCGACTTACAAATGAGGACAATAAAAGCAGTCAAAACTAACAAAAGAGCAACAATATATAAGTGCAAATGACAAGTTAATAACACAGTAATAACACAGAACTCACACAGTAATAACAGAAATAACACAGGAATAACACAGGGTTAACACAGAAATAACACAGGAATAACACAGTAATAACAGAAATAACTCAGGAATAACACAGGGTTAACAGAAATAACACAGGAATAACTCAGTAATAGCAGAAATAACAGGAATAGCACAGTAATTACAGAAATAACACAGGAAATACACAGGAAAAAGAAAGGAATAATTCAGTAATAATACAGGACTATTACAGTAATAACAGCAATAACACAGGAATAACACAGTAATAACACAGAAATCACACAGTAATAACAGAAATAACTCAGGAATAACACAGGGTTAACACAGAAAAGCACAGGAATAACTCAGTAAAAGCAGAAATAACAGGAATAACACAGTAATAACAGAAAGAACTCAGGAATAACACAGGGTTAACAGAAATAACACAGGAATAACTCAGTAATAGCAGAAATAACAGGAATAGCACAGTAATTACAGAAATAACACAGGAAATACACAGGAAAAAGAAAGGAATAATTCAGTAATAATACAGGAATATTACAGTAATAACACAGTTATAACACAGTAATAACACAGTAATAACACAGTAATAACAGAAATAACAGGATTAACACAGCAATAACACAGGAATAACACATTAATAACACAGTCATGACACAGCAATAACACAGTAATAAAAACAGGAATAACACAGGCATAACACAGGATTAACACAGTAATAACACAGTAATAACAGAAATAACTCAGGAATAACACAGTAATAACAGAAATAACTCAGGAATAACACAGTAATAACAGAAATAACTCAGGAATAACACAGTAATAACAGAAATAACTCAGGAATAACACAGTAATAACAGAAATAACTCAGGAATAACACAGTAATAACAGAAATAACTCAGGAATAACACAGTAATAACAGAAATAACTCAGGAATAACACAGTAATAACAGAAATAACAGGATTAACACAGCAATAACACAGTAATAAAAACAGGAATAACACAGGCATAACACAGGATTAACACAGTAATAACACAATAAAACAAAATAATTTTCTTATTTACTTTTGGTACTTAAGTAAAAGTACAAAAGTACTTGCTTTTAAAAGTACTTAAGTAAAAATCTGTCTTTACAACTTTTACTTGTAATGGAGTAATATTTGACCAGCAGTATCTGTACTTTCACTCAAGTAATAGAGTTGAGTATTTTGTCGCCTCTGCACAGGAATAACACTTACATAACACAGGAATAACTCCATGACAACAGAAATAAGACAGGAATAACACAGTAATAACATGGAAATAACAGAAATAACTCAGGAAAATTTAACACAGAAGTCACACAGGAATAACACAGAAATAACACAGAAATAACACAAGAATAACATGGTAATAACAGAAATGACTCAGGAATAACACAGTAATAATACATTAATAACACTGTAATAACACAGGAATAACACAGGAATAATTCAGTAATAACACAGGAATAACACAGACATAACACAGGAATAACTCCATGACAACAGAAATAAGACCGGAATAACACAGTAATAACATGGAAATAACAGAAATAACTCAGGAATAACACAGTAATAACACAGAAATAATTCAGTCATAACACAAAAATAACACATTAATAACACAGGAATAACTCAGGAATAACACATTAATAACACAGGAATAACTCAGTAATAACACATTAATAACACAGGATTAACTCAGGAATAACACATTAATAACACAGGATTAACTCAGTAATAACACAGTAATAACACAGAAATAATTCAGTTATAACACAAAAATAACACATTAATAACACAGGAATAACTCAGTAATAACACAGGATTAACTCAGTAATAACACAGTAATAACAGAAATTACTCGGGAATAACACATTAATAACACAGACAGAAATAACTCAGGAATAACACAGTAATAACACAGAAATAATTCAGTCATAACACAAAAATAACACATTAATAACACAGGAATAACTCAGGAATAACACATTAATAACACAGGAATAACTCAGTAATAACACATTAATAACACAGGATTAACTCAGGAATAACACATTAATAACACAGGATTAACTCAGTAATAACACAGTAATAACAGAAATTACTCGGGAATAACACATTAATAACACAGTAATAACAGAAATAACTCCGGAATAAAACAGAAATCACACAGGAATAACAGTAATAACACAGGATTAACAGAAATAACACAGTAATAACAAAGAAATAAAACAGGAATAACAGAAATAACTCAGGAATAACACAGTGATAACACAGAAGTCACACAGGAATAACACAGAAATAACACAGAAATAACACAAGAATAACATGGTAATAATAGAAATAACTCAGGAATAACACAGTAATAATACATTAATAACACCGTAATAACACAGTAATAGCACAGTAATAATTCAGTAATAACACAGGAATAACACAGACATAACACAGGAATAACACAGACATAACACAGGAATAACTCCATGACAACAGAAGTAAGACAGGAATAACACAGTAATAACATGGAAATAACAGAAATAACTCAGGAATAACACAGTAATAATACATTAATAACACCGTAATAACACAGGAATAATTCAGTAATAACACAGGAATAACTCCATGACAACAGAAGTAAGACAGGAATAACGCAGTAATAACATGGAAATAACAGCAATAACTCAGGAATAACACAGTAATAACACATTAATAAAACCGTAATAAGACCGTAATAACAGGAATAACACATTAATAACACAGTAATAACACGATAATAACACAGTAATAACACAGGCATAACACAGGATTAACACAGTAATAACACAATAAAACAAAATACTTTTCACTCCACTACATTTCTATCAAGGTCCTCGAAGTAGAAAGTCATTACTCTGTAGCAGCTTTAAAAGTCAGTGGGTGATTTTTTTCTTCTCTAAAACGTGACTTTAGACACAATATTGTCTGATTTTGCTAAATTGTGTAGGTGAAAATATTACCTATAAAGCCACAGAAGAACTGTTGTGCATCTCCTAATAAAACACAATAGGTGTTGGACTTGAAGCAGCACTGCGTAGACTGTTCTGTGTGTGACATCAAAGTTGAGTACTTTGTCCGCCTCTGTTACTATGTAGCATCAGAATACGAGGGGCTAGGCAGCACTAAATGGACATATGATGGAAAAGGAAATGCGTATGAACTCTTTTTTTCCCCTTTGCCATTATTTCATATATTTCATAAATAGTAGCTATAATAAATGTAATTTAATATTGAATTACAATGTTATATATAATTATTACATTTTATATTATATAATTGTTATATTTTTATAATTTACACTTAAAAAATCAATACATTTAAAATAAATATATAAATAAATATTGTACTGATAATTTTGTCATTTTTCTTGCCAAGGTATCTCCGCTGTTATTATTTTGCCACTCCTACACTGATCACTATCAGAGGTCTCCCCGAGCCTCATACACTCTTTGAGATCGTCTTCCAGCTGGTGAACTTCTTCACAGGAGTCTTTGTCTTCTCTAGCTTGATTGGACAGGTAAGTAGCCTAAATGAATACATGTAACACATGTCCCAGAGTAATCACTTCACACCATTGATCAAAACCTGTTTAAACCCAGATGAGAGATGTCACTGGAGCAGCTACGGCGGGTCAGACCTACTTCCGCGCCTCTATGGACTCCTGTGTGGCTTATATGAACACCTACACCATCCCAAAGCTGGTGCACTGGTGGGACTCCCAGGGCATGCTGGGTAAGAGCTTACTGTAATTCCTAATAGAAGTGCTCAATTAATACAGCTAGTTTTGGACTGATATCTCATAAAGTTACCATAAATCTAAACGGATGCTAATTTCTATGGATCAGATGCAAAAAAACTCAACCTCTTCAAGGTGTTCATCATGATAATATTCACAAATTAACACAACCTGTGAAAGACAAAAACTCCACTGCCCCCTACTGGGGGGGGACTTTTATGAAGTAAATCCATGTTAGAATTATAAAAAGAATGAAAGAAAGAGAAAACAAGTGAGGGATTGATTTTGTTTCAAGTTTTTGCGATTTCCAACATATTTTTCTAGGGCTGTGACAACCAGATGCTTGTGCACGTTACTGCGTCTGAAATCCATTGTGTACTTGCCAGGAGACTTTGTGTGTAAGAAGGTGAGAACACCAAATATAATCATCCATGCATGTATCTGATATTATGTTGATTAAACATAGTGATTCAGACAGTTATCATGGGCAAATGTCTTCCATTGGTTCATGCAGGGTGACATTGGGAGAGAAATGTATGTTATTAAAGGGATAGTTCACCCAAAAATTAAAATTCTGTCATCATTTACTCACCCTCAAGTAGTTTCAAACCTGTATGAATGTCTTTGTTCTGCAGTGCATTCTGGTCAAAAATTCAACTTGGCAATGTGAAAAGCTGCCCCATGATTTCCATAGAATTCAATCAAACATATATGCACATTTTTTTTGTATATAATATTATGCATTAGATATATGAAGAAATTGCTTTGTGAGGCACTGATTAAAAAATCATATACAAATATAAGATGTAAAGAATGATAATGACATGAAAAATTAATGAGATAATGCTGACTGTAAACAATTAGCAAGAATGACATTGGAGATTAAAAAAAATGCCTTCATACCAATGCTGTATTCTGCTGTCATAACTGGAACACTAACAAGGTTGACTTTAAACTTAAATTCCCTCCCAATTTTTTTTTTCAGTAACCGGTCATTTAGAGTAGGATACTTGAGTCCAAACAAGCTCTATAATTGACCATTGCAAGATTATTTTGCAGAAGAAAACATGTAAATAAATATAAAATGATTTAAAAAGTAAACAAATTCATAACTGAAATTTTAAACCAATGCAAATCAAATGTATCTAGTGTTTCTAGTGTATTTCTTTTTAAGAAAGCCTATGGTTAGCAGGTTAGCAGGTTGGTGATGTCTAGTTGTGGAGTTGTATGTGGTATGAAGGAAGTTAGCAGGTCCATCAGTTCTGCGTTGGCCCATTTGGAGAGTCCACTGGAGTGTTTGATTTAGGAGGCAGGAGCTTCATCATGTTAAAGAAGGTGACGACCTGACCAGGAACCTCCGCCAGAACACACTTAGCGAGCTCCTCTTTAGGAGACTACAGAGAGAGAGAAAATGATAGTCATCATATTTCTGACTTTGAGCAGCAGTAGAAGGTCGGAGATTGTGGCGAGGGGTTAAGCTTCATAGTGTTAGTTACAAGACAGTGCAGACAACATAAACCATATGCTGCGCTCATGTCATGTTATGTCAGCTACCGATTAGCTACTGAAAATCATTCACATTTCTGTCAGAATATCATTTTATGGGCGTGTTCAAAAATACAGTCTTACTGGCATGAAGTGGCAGCTGAAATTGGGAAAATATTAGGGGAAGAGTTGGATTTTTCATTCATTAACGCTGTACCTAGGAAAAATTCCTAAAACAGTTCTAGACAGTGACAAATACTTATTAAAAATACTTTTAGCAAGCAGTAGGAAAGCCATAACACGTAAATGGTTTCAGGTTGACCCTCCAACAAGGGACCAGTGGTTTGGAATTGTAAACGAAATATACTCTATGGAGAGACTTACATTTACTGTTAGACTTCATTTGGAAAAATGTATTAAGTACTGAGATAAATGGATTGTGTATACACACCATTGAGGATAAGTGTAATACTATACTCCAAAAATATTATGGAAATTGTATTGTCTTGACTTTGTAACACCCATGATGACCTTTTGTTCCTTGTTCTCAATAATAAAAAAAAAAAGATAATTTTATGAACATTTGGACTTCTTCCACTTGATCATTGTGACAAATGGCAGTTTTTAGCAGTAATATTACCTATAATTTTTTACTTTTTTAGATAATATAATGTATAATAATTATATAATTTATATCATAATTTATATTATATTCATAAATTATAAAATAATTAATAACAATAATAATAACAATAGCACAAATGATACATACCACAAATGATACATGATACGTTTTTAGACAAAGTTAAGGTTTGGGACAGTAGCATTTTTATGATTTATATAATATTATTGCATTTTATTAATATTTTGAATTAGCTTTTATTTTATATTTTTAGTTTTCATTTTAATTTTAGTATTTTTGTTATGCACTTATTTTATTATTTCTTTTATATTTTTATTTATATTTAATTTATTTTTAACCTTTTAACCTTAATTTATTTACCTTTTTTACCCTGTCAAAAACAGCTCTTTTCAGAGCATGCAGTTTTGTAGCATTTTCCTTTAAATGTTAATAAGCTCTGCTGACCCCGCCCCTCTCTTCCGAGCTGCTCTCAGAGAGACTGTTTACTTTAGCCGCATTCATCGTGAAACTTGCTAATTAGCACATTATTAGGAAAGGCGATTTGCAAAGATTCATTAAAAAAACCTTCCACTCACTTCTTCTGTACATTTTACATTTAGTCATTTATGTAGGTGAAGCTGCATCACGAATGATTTGCGCAAACATAGACGCATTTATGTAGATCGGGGGAGCATTCCCTTCAGAAACAAACATAATCCACTGCGTCTTCAGTGGCTCAGATGTCGGGAGTAAATGACGACGGCTATGTTCATTATTACATCCAACAACAGAACACCTCAATCGCTTAGGAGCATGGATCGCGGAACGAACCAAAAGGAGGGAGGGCGGGGTTTGGGTTGCAGAACTAATTTTAATATTAGAAACAGTAGTAATATTACCTATAAAATACTAATGGTATTAGTTAGTTATAAATACTAATACTACTAATGGTATTAGTTAGTTGCCACATATATTAGCCTATGATTCTCCCACGATTCTGAAAACAAAACAAACAACCAAACGAAATTTGTAATTTTACTTGAGTTTCTGACAAAATGTTTTATTAATGTTATAGTAAATGAGTCTATTTAAAAATATTTATTAATTTAAACGAATTAGCCTAATTGTGTAAAAAAAAATCATTTAAAATAAATGAAGACTTGTTTCGTTTTGAATCTCTTGAATGAATGATTCAGACATCAAATACATTTAACACCCTGTTCGCCACCTACTGGAATAAAGTAACATATGCATCATACTTTCAAAGACCCATTTTGATCGCGGCTCCCGCAACATCAGAGTCTACATCCGAACTTTAAACTTTTATCAATACTTTCATTATTATTTAATGTTTGCAACACAGAAATGTAGCCTACTGTGTAAGTAGACTGTTTGTGAAGCTGTTTCAAACAAAGCTTACATGATGAGTGCTGCTCTGTCTGGATCAGCGGCTTCACAAAAGCAGGTTTAAATATTCCGATGTGATTGTGATTTCAAAGGTTGAATAGACATAGCAGAATCACCGTCATTTAGGAATAAGATCACGTGAGTTTGAATCAAGATCACGGTATTTTAATGATTAAACGTGCATACATAGGCTATATAAGGCTCATATGTATTTTTCTAGCCCATACCAGACCTCAAAAGTAACCCGCCCCCCCCTGCTTCGCGATCCATGCTCATTCTTGTCTACATCTGCTCCAGCGGTGAAACAATGGTGGACTGATGACAGCTCACTCAGGGCGGGTCTAAGGTAAGACACCAGTCCAGTCTGTGCTGGAACGCTACTGTCAATCAAACTATCGTGGGAGGGGCCTGTTTTTGTGACGTCACACAGACAGGCATCTGAGATCGGCTCGATTTGAGAAACGGGTAAAGATTTGAGCAGATAAAAAAAAAAAACACTGGGGGGATTTTTATCATTTTAGGGTGGTTGTGTACACACACTGCCAACACACATTTCAGTTCAAACAACTTGCAAAAGTGCATGTAGCATCCTATGACCCCTTTAAACATATTTTAGTTAGTTAGTTTTTTCATCTAATATTAATTTTTTTTTTTTTCAGCCTAATTTCAATTAGTAATTTTTAATAGTTTTACTTTTAGTTATAGTTAACAATAATAACACTGGTTAGGGATTAATTCAAATCAATAACTCAAAGTATGAGCAATACTATTAAACCAATAAACCAAAACCAAAATATGGTTTAAAATAAAAGCTAGCTAGCCACTGACTGGACAGACATGGATTCATTTTGCTATTGTGAACGATGCCACAGAAACAAATACTTTTAGAGTCCAAGGACTTCAGTTTCATAATTCAGATATGACATGAATGCAGCATATATTCATCATGCTTTAGGAAAACCTCCTGCTTTGAGTTTCATTATCATTCAATATCCTTCCTTTGCCTCAGGTTGTGACGCTGTTTTACAGCAAATATGGCATCCATGACTGCTAAACCTGCAACAACGATGGCTACTTTCAATCAAACAGATGAATATGACTGCTGTGTCAGCTGAATGCTTTGTGAAGCAATAATGAGCATTAAATCATTCAGACAGGCACATGACAGAGGGTCAGGTGCCAATAAAGAAGAGAGCCCTACATGTTCATGTCTATGAATGTTTTAGCTCATGTGGAGGCAATAGATTTATATATCTGAAGTAGGACATGACTTGTGGTAATTCTGCCAGTACATATTGGGCAAGCATTTCCCTGGGCGCCTGAAATGAAATGGACACAAAGGCACAGGTGAGACGCTATAAGCCATAACATGCGGTAGATACATGGGACTATGAATACAAGTTTGTGTCATGTTCTGCTCTGCTCAGTGTCTACTCTCATAAACATTTATGAAAAGGGTTGGGAACTGGCTCCATACAAATAATAATAAATAAATAACA